GGTGGACCACGCATCCCCCGCTCGCCGCGGACAGATCCGAGCTGACAGGCGCGTCGTCCCCAGTCCCGTCTGTTCCTATCTTCGCCATCTCCCAAGTTGCTGCCAGTGAACTGGAGGATGCTTCCATCTCCGTTTTGTAACCAGAGGATGGGGGAGGGAAGACATGCACTTCTGGCCTCGCTGCCACGCACCGCTGCGAGCACCGGGGCAGAAACCCACCCGAGCGGGGGTCGTGGGCTGCTGCCCTGCACAGGAAGAGGCTGGGGCACCAACCTGTCCTCGGGGTCCTGGCCTGGAGAGAGTCAGGAGACCGTGTGCAGCATGGGAACTGGAAATGAGAAGCCTCTGTTCTCCTGGAAAAGGGGGTTCAGCCCTCGGAGGCTCTCGTAAGATCACAGCTAAGTGCAGACAACACTGAGCTCATCCCTCTCGCTCTTCTCCAGGGGCTGCCAGGGGCATGCGCTGAGGCTCGCTGGAAGGAATCACCCTGCACCCAGCACCCAGGGGTTCAAGCGATGCTGGTGAGGGCCTCTGCATGCCCAGCCGTCCCGTCCCACCCCAGAACGACCTCGGATCGAGCCACGGGCACTGCTGGGAGGAGTTTCTGAGCACGGAGCACCCTGTGGTGCCCCTCGCCGCCCAGGACCTCCCCCACCCGTGGCCACAAGCAGAGGGGTTCCCCAGCCTCTCCTGTGTCTCATCCACTGGAGGACTCTTACCACGGACTACGGGGGAACGTGTCCAAACAGTGGCAGCACACCGCTGTCTGCACGACAGCAGGCGCATCGAAGATGGATGAAAGAGAGGGTCCCACACTCACGCTGTCAGTGAAGCCCCAAGGAGCGCTTGTATCGAGTTCCGCACGGAAATGGCTTTACCAGAGGTGCATCCCTGCCCGCTCACCTTCTTCTTGACAGCCAGGAGCTGTTCCGTAGCCAGAATAACCAGGAGCTTCTGCAGCGCGCCGCCCTCGATTGCTTCTACCTGGACTTTGGGGTTGCTGCGGGGAAAAAAGCAAAAGGCAGGTCACCACCAGAGCAGGGCATGGCAGGGGGGGACAGACCCCGGGTCTGTCCAGGGCAGCACCCGCAGCAGACACAGCAAGGAGGCCCACAGGCCACCCCAGACACAGCACATGACCGACACAACCTGGAATGACGGCAACGGGGCTGGGGAAGGGCACACCGAGCCATCCGTGCCACCCCACCACGTGCCCACGTCCCACCCCTCTTCCCCTGGGAAGGAGCCGTGTGCTGAGTTTCCCTCTCAGCTACTAATCCTCTCGCTCTGCATCGCGTCTATTCCTTAACAGAGTTTTATACTTCAGTTCTTGCTTTCCTCCTCTCGTGCTCCTTGCTTGCTGTCCATGTGCTGATTTATTTAAACGCTCCTGTGCTGTGGCACCGGCCCCCAGCTCACCTGGAGAAAGCTCCTGCTTGTCCCCGGCGCCTCTGAATCGCAAATTACGTCTGGTCTCACCACCCACACACCTCTCGCATCGAGTGCTTTTCTCCAGGGGCTACAAATGGCTAAATCCGTCCTTCTGTCTGCAAGAACCAGGCTAAAATGGATGTGAAGAGCTGCCCCAGGTGCAGGCAGACCAAGACAAGCCTTGCCCACTGTCCACGATGGGCAGGGGCACCTCTGCCACGCAGACGCTTTGCAGACCTACTTCTAGTGCATCTTTGAAGGTGATGGAGAGGTTAGATGCTACAGGCTCCCTCTTTACCAGGGCCTTCACAGTTGGAGCACAACATACCGGCTGTCTACATCCCTGAGCCCAGGTCTCGCGCTCCGAGGAAGAGCTCCAGCAGTTCAGCCTTTGCTTGAATCTGAAGGAGCAATCACAGTGCGGCCAGGGTCAAGCGTCCCTGCTACAGCAAACCACACACAGCTCTTACTGCTACCAGCAAGCTGCCGGAGCAGCCAGTGCCAGGCATCATCCGAGAAATAAGAGAGACAGAGGCAGACAAAGTCATAAAAAACAAAAACAGAAGACAAATGGGCTTGGGCAGGGAGCAGCTCTGAATTAAGCCCATTGCTCCCAGAAATACAGCAAACACTAAGCTCATCTGCGTCAACCAAGGTGCCGGGCAATCTCTCCAACCCTCCCTGCTCCATCCAGGCTTTGCTCCTCACACCATTAGGAGTCATCCATGGCTCAGAGGCGGCAGATCTGGTGAGCGGGTTCCTGACTGCAGTGACCAGGCTGACCTCAAGCCAGGAGCAGGGAGGTTGCTGAAAGCCACCTCTGATTTCTCCTTCCTGACCCACCTGCTGCGGCAGGCACTCAGGCAGAGCCACGGCGCAGGCACCCTGCCGAGGAGGGGGACACCTGCGACCTGCCCAGGCAGGCCAGGAAGGAGCAATAATGAACCCACGGGCTTCAGGACCCTCCTGCAGAAGAGATTTTCGCAGCGTGGTCCACACGTGCGCTCGCAGACCCCCGTGTGCCAGCACTGTGGCAGCCTCAGCATCCCTAGGAGCCAGCCATCTTCTGGCAGTGCCTGGGTGGGACCTGATGGACATACCAAGGTGTGTTTATCCCCCATCCTCACCATGTCAACAGGCGCAGCAGAGCCTCCTCCTGCAGCAACAGCATGTTATTTTCTACCTCAGTATGGTGGGAAACGACCCTCTACTCCTGCAGAGCAGCGATGGCATCTCAGATGGCCTGGCCTGGGCTCTGACTTCGGAGAGGCAAGAGTCAACGCAGCGAACAGCACCAGCCCTGAAACCTTCAGCTGCCCCCAGGCAGCCCCCCGGACGCAAGGCAATTTCCCCGCGGATGACGACCGCTGCTCTCACCTCCAGCCATACCCGCAGTCGCAGGGACAGCCACGGCCCCTCCAGCGCGGGGACAGCTCAGGGGCAGCGCTGCAGCCCCGCAGCAGCACCGCACCCCGCCCACCCTCAGCAGCTGCTCCCAGGGCAAAGGCGGGAGGAGCACAACGGTGAGATGGGGACAAACAGCTCCCGGAGCACCCAGGGGTCGGCTGAAGATTGCTCTAACATACCCCAGCAGGTGGGGATGCGCTAGGGGTGACCCTCGCCTCCAAAGAGCCAGAGGTAAGTGACATCTGTCCTACAGAAGCGAATGAATCCTGCCTCTGCTGTTGGCCCAGATGGGTTTGTGAGCCAGGCTTGTGATCAGACTCCTTTGGGCGTCTAGGGACACGGCACCCAGAAGGCAGCAGGGAAACGCAGCAGTGAGCAGCAATACCCACACCAGAGCCGCTGAAGGTGCCCTCAGCAGCGAGCTGGGCGCAGCCGGTGCTCAAGCTGGGCCGGGTAAACACAGCCGGGCTCACCACGACAGCACGAAGCCGTCTCCTGCAGAGGCTGGGCAACAGGCGCAGCCCCGGGGCCGCGACCGGAGCCCTGTGCACCGCCAGAACCCACCAGCCGCTACAGGACCGTGCAGACACGGCCCTCCTGCTGCGACAGCGCCGCTCAACCAGGCAGCAGCGGGAAGAAGAGTTTCTTTCCAGCTCCGTTTTGCCAGCGATGACAGCTTCGGTCTCTGCCTCTGCCCGTGCACGGTTGGGCTGTGCTGGTTTCTGCTCCGAGCTGTTCTGGAGGAAGGCACGGCACAGAGGTTCAGCTCCGCCTGGCACAGCATCAGCCACGCTGTCAGGAACGTTTTCAACACCGGGGCTCCGTGACCGGCGCTAACAAGAGGCGAAGAAACCACAGCTGCATTTCCAGACCCCACGGAGGAGCTGGTAACTCTGATGCTCGGAAAACACAACTTCTGGTTTGAATACTCGATCAAATTTCACAAGCAAGTTACTCCAGGCAAGGGAGGTCAGAGAAAGTGCAGAACAAGCTTGCGGGCAGGCGCGTTTCTGAGTGTAACTGCTCTGAAAGGAGACTCTCCTACGCTGCAGACCTCGAGTGCCAGTCAAGGAAAACGTTAAGTTTGGGATATCCAAGTTCTTTTGTCACATCTATCTAAAATAAATAATAAAAAAACCTCATACAGCAAGGGACGCAACTGAAAAATTGGTGTGCCTTTTAATGCTTGGCTGACCACCTGGAGGATGAGATCTAATTAAAATCTCTGAACCGTGGAGTTTGTGCCAAGGAGCACCTCCAGAGGTTAGGAAGCCTTCCCGGATGGTAGGCGTGCTGCTCTCTTCTCAATGTTTCTGCTGTTTAATGTCTCTACTATCAATAGTCTGGGCTTCACAGTAACAAATAAAGCTTGTTTGAGAGTTTGGAAAAACTCAGCACAGATCTGTGCAAATTACTCTGTCAAGTCCAGGGAACAGCAGCCCGAACAAAATAAATACAATGAGACAGACCGTGCAGCGCTCGCGTGGGAAATCCGACCTGCGCTGATCGGCTAACGGGTAAGGGAATGGTGGCACCGGCAAGGACATTCACTGAAACGGAACTCTGAGGCTGGGCCAGAGACTGAACACAAGCTGTGGTGACATCTCCCCGATGCTACAGTGCTGGCAGAGATTTGGGAGTGCTCAACGGATGAGACCAGCCAGCCTCAGGCCCGGGTGAGGAACGCCACGAGGCTATGGGCACTCAGCACAGGCGCTGTGCTCGGGTTCAAGCGGCTTCCCAAGAGAGCCCCTGCATGTGCTAAACGCAGCCCTGGTCGCCCTGGGAGGACCTACCCCAACTGCAAGGCCACAACGTGTCCCCTCCCAACATGGCCCTCGCCACACATCTGAGGTTCTTGTGCCTCCCAGTCGTGTGGCCCACGTCCATCACATCCATCTCTTCTTCCGTTCCTGAAGAGCAGAAAACAAGGCTGGGTGCAGGCTCATCGTGATTGATCCATGCAAGGAACCGCCTGGGTGCTGCGACAGGCTGGGGTTAACGGGCACGCTGCTGGTGTTCACGCTGGCCAAGATCTGTTGAGCAGGGGTGAACAGGTTGGGGAGACCAGCAGGAA